TATGAAGTTCCATACCAAACCTTTCTGATACAAGTCTCTCAGTCCTCTAATCAGCACCTCCTGTGCCAAAATAAAAAGACTAGGGGATAGAGGATCTCCTGGTCTCAATCCTCTAAAGATAGGGAAAAAGCCATACCTTTGCCCATTGAAAACCAGAGAACAGTTCTGATTATTGAGGCAATTAAAAATAATAGATATAAAAAGCTCAAAAAAACCAAAGGATGCCAAAGTCTTCCTCAGAAAGTCCTATTCCAGCCTGTCATAGGCCTTCATCATTTCCAACGTCATAATCACATTTCCCCCATCCACTTTTGTATCTAATTCACCAACGATAAACTGTGCCAGTGATATACAGTCACCTAATTTCTCCCTTGCACAAAGCCATGTTGTTCCTCACACATGGGTGATGGTAACAAAACACTAAATCTGGACCCCAGTAGCTTAGTAAATATTTTGTAAAGAAAGTTACATAAACTTATGGGTCTGAACTCAGAAAAATGCACTGGATTTGTAACTTTAGGGATAAGGGACAGCAAAGTAGCATTGACAGGACTGGACATTACTCCTCCAGATTAAAAATAATTCGCAGCTAACAAAATATCATGCTGAATGATTTCCCAAGAAACTTGAAAAACTTTCCTGAGAAGCCATCAGCTCCAGGTTCACTCTCCACTGGCATAGATAAAATAATATTCTTCCCTTCTTCCATGCTAGCCTGTGATACAAATGTATCATTGTCTTCTTCAGTGATTAAGGTTGGAATCACAAAAATAAGTCCTCTTGCAAAAAATGAGATTCAGATGTATAACAGTTAGTAAAAAAAATTTTGCACACACTGCCATCTGCTGCTCATCTTCTAAGCACTGCCTTTAATCATTTTAATTTCCTTATTCTATTCCTTGTTGATTTTCCTTTGGCCACTACATGATATAGCTTTGTTTTCCTTTCCCCATCCATAGCCCATTTCATGTTTGCCTTCTGTTTCCAGTAAATTTCCTCTAGTCTTAGAGTCTCCTCCAATTGATTCTTAATTCGTCCTAACATAGCATTATTAGAATCCGAAGGAATTTGATCCATCTCCTTTTCAGCTAATAACAGTTGCTCCTCTTGTGTCATGATCCCCTCAAAGTTATTCGCAAATACATTCTTATTCCAGATTTTCAAATGAAATTTAGGATACTTAAGCTTTAGAAAAACATTTTCTATTGGGTTCTCTGAGTACTGACCACCCCATTTACTTCTGACCCCATGCAAAAAAGATGGATGCTCCACCCACATGTCCTGAAACTTGAAATAGGAAATTCTGGACTGTGTTTGTTCTTCCATAGTCTGAATATGCAGAGGTCAGTGATCTGATCTGCCTCTAGCCAAATGATACACTGCAGTCACTTCAAAATTTAACTTCCATTCAGCATTAACCAATGCTCGATCCAGCCTCTGCCACATTCTTGACCTACCTTGATGGTTATTACACCATGTGTACTTACTACCACTGAAACCACAATCCACTGAACCCCCAGTTTGCATAAAAGTTTCAAATTCATCTATTGATAGAAAATTTGGAGTAGATCCTCCTAGTCTTTCTGAAGAACTGAAAATAGCATTAAAATCACCAACAATCATCCAAGGTTTAGATGATATATTCAAGCTCAACAAATGATTCCAAAGAGGCCTTCTCAACACATAGTCACAGCAAGCATATACCACAGTCACAAAAAATGGTTTAGAGCCCAAGAAAGAAACTTCTAGAGTCAAAGATTGTTCAAAACCCTCCTCTGTATTAACCACTAATCTATGATACTAAATCAACCACATGTTTTTTTCTACAGAAGGATTAGCTACAAAAAAATTCATATTAAGGCTAGAAGAAAGACCTGGCAATTTAGAAGGATTCTGCTTTGGCTCCAGGATAGAAACAAAACAAGCACCCGTTAATCTAATGAGTTTTTTTAGATGCCTTCTAGTGAATTCTTTACCTGCCCTTCTAATATTCCACGGCATAAAATTAATCATTTAAAGATGATGGAACAAGAGACAATTCTCTAGATTTAAATCTAGTAAGGACACCAGAATGATTAGATTCACTAGGTAGATTACCATCAATATTCTCCTCCAAATCAGAACATTGTGAACCAATCTCTACACAGTCAACATTCCTAGATACCTCACTATCTGATTCAAACCCCTTATCAGGAGGCTCCTTGTTACTGATCAAACCCCTTTCATTAGTTTCATCATCCAGTGTTACACCTGTGTGCTCTCTACTGATATATTGATGATCAATGAGAAAAGCAGAGTCCATTAATGGAGAAAATTGCCTATTCAATTGACAGACATTCAACTCTTGTGTATCCTTATTCTGAGCCTTAGCTTTAGTATCCTGGGAAGCACCCTCTTTTGTCAACTGAATGGGATTATTAGGATCTAATGGACTTAAAGTCTCAGGATCCTTACTCACAGACGTTTTTGCATTCAGCTCTGGCTCATTGAGAACTGCAGTGACCAAAATCTCCTCTGTATCTACTTTCCTCGTCCCCGCAATATCCATACATGCAGCTATCTGAATTGTCTCTGAGATCTCTGTACTTCCATCTTGCAAATCAGGAACACCAGTCACTTTTTCTTCTCGAATCCCAATCAATTTACCATTAATGCCTGTATCAGTATCCTTGTTCTTGCTTTGAACTGGATTGTCCAGACTTTCTAAAACCTTTCACTGTCCTTTTGACAAATATGCCATATTCCTCTGGTTTTTTGGCTGCCTGTTGTTTGTCTGTTATATTGGCTGAATATTTTCCTTAGTTCCTTTCACTTTTTCCTCTCCAACTTTAGCTTTCTCTTTCCTAATCCTTACCTCGTTCTTAGTATCTCTGATTTGTTCTGGCATGTCAGAGGCCAAAGATTTCGTCTTTCTGCATTCATCTTCCATATGGCCTTGTTTGTAGCAGACTGAACAATACTTAACCTCTGTCTCATACACAAATTTCTGCCACCTTCCTCTGTATCCCCCCTTCTCCAGCCATACCCTTTGAGGGTTATCCTCCAATATGTTCATCTCAACGCATGCTCTGCCCACACCTGGCCTTGTCAGATTCATTGTATGTTTATCAAAAGCTAGAATTTGTCCCGCAGGACTCAGAAAGCTGCAATACATTCATTAGTGAATAAACACATAGGCAGTGATGGCAGAGAAACCCACATAGGGACACAACTGAGGGCTCCACTCCAGGAGTAAATCTAACACCCGCTTGAAGAACCAAAAGAGATTGTCCCTCTATATACATTGCATCCTTCAGCCAGACCCTCACATAATCCTTGAACAGACTAAATCTCATCACTCTGTGCCTTGAATCCAAGTGGCCAACGAAGAACTCACCTTTTATGTTCCACTTTGTATTAATAAACTCTTTGATTACCGTCAACAATGGCCTTCCATATGTCCAGATCATTCATCTCCTTTTTGGACCAGAACACAATATGTTAACCTTTATCGAAAACAGTTTTTTGTTGTTTTTTTGGTTCAGAATCTTTGGTAGGGTTGTTTAAATCCGTTATAGGTTTTTGCTAAAAGGAGTGATTTGTGGTTGTTTGAGCACAGATGCAAAGGTTTTAGGCAAATCAGGTGGCTTTGGTTGATTGAGAAAGGCTGATTGATCCAAACTCATGGTGGGGATTTTAGAGAGAAGTCAGAGTTTCTCTCTCTCTCTCTCTAGAATCAAACGGCTGCTTCTATGATTTGGACTTGGGAGAAGAATATCTATGCATATGTTATGCGGTAGGATTCCTGATGTAGTTGGAATGGTTTGTGTTTTCCAATCCATTTATAAGGACAGTAGGTAGGGGCAATCGTCCGTCAATTTCGTATCCATTTGAATATTACCTACTGCCTGCTTTCTTAGAAATGCTGGCAAGGATATTTGCTAACGGGTGTTGGCAAATTAGCTTTAACTTGACATCTACATTAGTTGTATGGATTCTCCTTCTATGCTGTGAAATTATCCTCAGGTATTCCCTCCTATCAGTTTAGTACTTGAGTGCAACACAACAAAGTAAAATAGCTGCCTAGCCTCCTGTGTTGGTATCCAAAACATGCATGTGTTGTAGGTTGTCTGACCATTTGGAAACCTACTTCTGGTAAAGCTACTGAATTGATGCTCGGGGCTGTCTATTGGTGCATCTTCTTATTGGTTAAATCACATTGGAAATATTCGTCTTTATTCCCCTACCGTTCTTAATCTTAATCTTACGTTTATATGCACAGATAGTAAATGGAAGGCTGATTTTTGTGGAAGTTGCAGAGACTGCAAGACCTGAAAAGATGGGACCTCTTGATAATAAGTTCTCCTATTTGTAACATACCAGTGTCTGTATCAAAATATGTGCGCTTGAGTTTCAAATCGAATGAGTAACAGACTGTAAAATAATGATTCAAATGGTGGCTTTTGTTGTTTTAAACATGCAAATTGAATTTATTTGCCCTTTTTTCTGCACATGGGTTCATGGTTTTTCTTACTGCTTCCCCTGTATAACATTATAAGAATCACCATGTTGTTAAAGCAATTTGCAACTTTCTTAGCCACATTGTTGTTAAAAGGACATATATAACAGCAACAGTGCTGATCCACTGGCAGTTGTAGGGTGGAAGATTGAAGCTTCTGATCCAGTTTTCTGCCCTTGCACTTTCACGAACATATCTTTAGTCACCTTTGGATCAAAGTACGAGGTTTGCTCACCAACCATCAAGTTAATGGTATGATCTAAACAAACTGAACAGATGCCATGAATGATTGATAGCTTAATTGCTTTTACTGACTGACTCCACCAGTCTACAAGATTTCAAACAGTGTTGATCAGTTTGATGTTGGAGATAGTTCAATTAAGCTGACCAGGACAACTTCCAAATGGGATAGACCGGTAGGAAAGAAGAGAACAAAAACAAAATCAACCTAGTGACTTACCAAAAATTCTGCTCAAAGCAATAGGTTTAATGTTTGCTAGTCAAATTGAATATCAACTGTCAACTCAAAAAGGAACCTTTTAACAAAATTCACACCATTGTGAACCAAAAACAAGTAAGCCCCAAACCAGATAAACACAAGACAAAGTAATGAAAACAGGAACAAAAAACAGAGAGTACAATCTTATAATGTGAATTCCTGTTGAGGGGCCTGTAAACACAACTGGTATCTGAGTTTGCCATTTTCCTTTCTGGTCATATTGTCTTCTACTTCCGCTCAATTGTGACAACTGAAATTAGTAACATGCTATGTTAACAGCCATACCTTCTCAGTTCTTTGTTTGAAATCACAATCAACTCACCTTTATCCTCTGTTGGTAAAATATAGCTTTAAAAAAAAGAATGAGTGAAGATCCAGACCACTCACTACAAAATTATCAGATAAAAATGAATAAGATGCTCGGATGAAAGAAACTTATCACAAGCCCGTCTTCTTATGGGTTAGCACAAACAAACAGCCTATATCCTTACAAAACACCAAAATAAGTAAACAAAACACATAAAATCCCCTAAATACTACACATAACAGGCAACCATACTTTAATCATGACAAAGCCTAGCAAGTTATAATGTTATGCCCGATTCATAACCCAACATATTAACCTAGCCACACCGACTATGTGCAAAGTTTCCTCCCATGATAGGAGTTACTATCCCTTGATCGGAAAATGCCCGCAAAGAGGTCTATAAGCTGGGAGTTGGGGGATTAGGACACTACCCTGAGTAGGAGACTCACAGACTCGAACAAATGGCTGACTCGTATCGGCCAACCAATGATCCCAAGTTGATACTTGACATGTCCCGGTCCTCTTCCCCATTACTTACAAAAAGTGAGTCACCGGTTTAGGTATAAGATACTATCACTACCACCTGAACAGTTAGACATCCAACCAATTATCGCAATGACCCAATTGCAAAAACGGAGCTATATGCCCAAATGAAGTCAACAAAGAAGGCACAAAAGTCTACCTCAACATATAACAATCCTCTATGGTACATGATTTTAAAAGGTCATAACACATCAAAAAGATACATTTGCTACTCCTCTATTAAGTATAGATAACTGTTCCTTCTGATTCTATCTTTGTAAAAAAAGGCCACAAGAGCACTAAAATGACTACTTGATGATGTTAGTGTAATTGAGGCACTGCAGAACTAAATTACTGAATTAGAGTTAACAGTCCAAGCGTCAAAACAATTCTGATCACTCAACAGATCAGGCGGTTACAACAACCACAGATGAACTTCCATGCCACGCCTTCAATTCTCTTGTCATTTTGTGCATCAAGCAATAAGTAGAAGTAAGTACCATGCAGCAACTAAATCAGATCTGGGATCCTTTTTCTCATCCTTTATGTGCATAATGAACACGAATGTTTCTGCCATCCAATAACTGAGAAATGTAACATTGAGTACATCATCAACAGATTACCATAATCTTTATAAAAATTCAGGGAAAAAAAAGTTGTACTTTCCGGCATGTGCAGAAAATTATATACCATTGCTCAAGCTTACCTGACCATCCATTTCCTTTAAAGCTGTGTTGGCTGTAAACTCAGAGGAATATTGCACAAATCCGTATCCTTTTGATTTACCACTCGTGTGGTTGCATATAACTTTCACTGCTAACCATTAAAGCATCACTTGCCTTGCAAAACTTTTTATTTTCAGTTATAAGCTATTAGGTACATTACCTTCAATTATTTCACCATGCTGCCCAAAAGCATCCTTCAGAACAGTTTCATTGGTGTCATAAGATAGCCCTGCAACACACAGAAATGTATCATATTCGTGATTTGGCTAGGTAATTATGCCAAGGATTCGAAGCTAGTAACAAGTTATCGCCCCCTTTTGATTGAATTTTTACAAAAGAAAAAAAATAAGTAATAGCTTTCACGACACGACCTAACCGTGTATTTATACTTTGTTTCTTGAAATTTACCAACTAAAGGCACGAAAGAATATTGCTGCCATTTTTATTATGTTGGAATGCATACATATAGATACAGGAATGCAAATAAGCAGCCAAAAGTATCAGTTCATACAAGTTCTGCATCACTAGGACATATGATTGAAGGGTTTCTATCAGCCAAAACCATAAATAGACACCCAAAACCACCAAGAAATTCTCCATATAAACCAATAAAAAACCCATCTAACCACCACCCTTAGCTACAATACAACTATCCCATGTCTCAACCAACGCCAACGTGTTTAATCTTATTGACTCATCGCAGGTTAAACTTCATGGCTCATCATCATTCTTTTCTCTGGATGTTTAATTTTCACCTGTAATTTAATTTACCATCCCAGATTGATAACTAAAAAACTAGTTCTCGATACATTCAGAACTCGATCTTTTGGAAGGATGTTTTGGTATGTGATTGTGGATGTTAAGACAAAAAATACTGTGAATGAAATGCTGAGCCATTAAAAGGTTCTGAGCATTAGATTGGTGAACTTTTGAGTTTTCAGGATGCATAACGAATAAGATTGGTTGGCAATGCTTAGCAATTAGCAATGCTAACCACCCCCAACCACCCATTGGGAGGCGGCGGCGGAAGAAGTAATGGAAATTCAAAATTTCCAGCCAGAAAACTCCAAAATTTACCGGAAAGAAAACACAAAATAAAACTAATTTATCTTGGACATGGCAGAGGATCTAGAGAGAGAGAGAGAGAGAGAGACCTCCAACAAACAATTTGGTGGAAGAATGGCGAGCTACGAGCCACCGAGCGAAAGGGGACGTCAAAAAGAGACGACCAAGAAACCCGCGCTGCATTTGCCTTAAAGCGGCACAGCCTCATACTCAGTCCGGCGCATGATAGCAACCGGTGAAAACAACGAGATTATAACAAAAAAAGGAGGAAGAAGATTAGTACTGCTATATGCCGGTAACTACTAGCGAACACCTCAAGTCGGGCCGGGGAGACAGGATTGCCAAGGCGCAATTCGTCCACCCAAAATGTCTCACTGGGCCAAGAATAAGCCCAAAAAAGGAACACTGAGCCACAGTTTCACGTTTTTTGTTGTAGAGAAATTGGAAGGTCGGTCCCATTTGTGGACTTATTTGGTGATAAATTTATCAAAAAAAATTGTTTAATATTAAGTTTATTTTGATCTTCATTGTCCAAAATATCCTTACTAATTATGTTTAATTCAAATAATTTGAAAAATAACAATTCCTAAATTTTAGAAGTTTGACTAAAATTATATATATATATAGAGAGAGAGAGAGAGACAATATCAATTGTTTTTTGAATTAAAAAAAAATTATTGACATATCTTCATTGATAGTGAATTAAGGAATAATAATTCTCAAGTTAGAAAACTAATTTAAAATTGTTTTTAAGGAAGAATATTTTGGAGTTTTAAAAAAAATAATGAACTTAACTACTTATTAGTAAGATTAAAAACGGACTTATTCTCAAATAAGTTTCATTGACGGACTAAACTCACTATAAATCCCTTAAGGAGGATTCAACCCCAATTTTACTTTATTGTATTGATCTAGCTTCCTATTAATGATGGAGTAAGGAAGATCGTTGCTCTTTGGAAATTATATTGCTTAAGGAAGAGGAAAAAGATTGCTATTACAGGGTGTTTGACTTAAAGTCTTTACAAGATATTGTCTAGGTTTTACTTGATGGCTTACAGGATAGTTCTCTTGTGCACTATAGCCATGTTGGTTATTTATACAATTGATAGTTAGGGTTTCATGCTTGCCCTTTTTGGCTGATTCTTTGGTCTTTTCTGTGTTTGTCTTTATCCTGGAGTTGTGGTCCCCAAAGCCTTTTTGCACTTAGTACTCGTCGACTGTGGTACTTGATCCGTCTCCACTATCTACGAGTTTTTGTTTATAAGAGCCGTTACGTAATATTCCCTTGTCCCATGTCCACGTGTTATGCTGTAACTTTTGCAAATTGGCCGCGGGGTTCCTGAGTTCTGAGCTTGTTATTGTGTCGGGTTTGTTACTCTGAGCTTAACTGCAACCACCTTGTGGCCTAGTTTGTGATAAGGAGAGTTCGTCTGGGCGAGCTGCTTAGACTACTTTCTGCAAGTCCAGAGGGTCTTGAGCTCTATAGACTTAAACCAATTACTATCACAACCAATAATATAGATATTTTTCATGTTTCTAATGTTTCACCTTCTTCTAAAATTTGTTCTCAACGTTTGAAGATTAGTAAAAAATCAAATTTCTCAATTTCATCTCTCATGTTTGGGAATTGTCTGTCTAATTCCCCACCGGCTTTACACAACACCCAGCTGCCCTGCCCTCTCTATGCAAAATGGTGTTCATTTTCTTTCTGAAATTAGAGGATTTTTTGGTTGAGCCAGTTCCATTTAATACAATATGTAATTCATCAATGGATTTGCGATTGACTGGGGGTTGGATGGCTCATTGTTAGATAAGGATGGACAAGCAAAGAGTTGGGAGTTCAATTAGATTGCAGTACCTAAAACATTAATCTTGATTCCCTTATTAAGATGGGATTTTGTTGAAAAACTTCAATAACTGTTGGGGGAAGTGGGACTTTCATCATAATCACACGGGGATAAAGAAGAATGCATTAAAACATTAATAAGGTCTAATTTGGCCATTCTAATCATTTTTCAATATCAACAAAGCCATATATTTTAAAGAAAAGGGAAAAGGAAGAAGCTATTCATATCCCTTAAATATCCGTTCTAATCCCATCTATATACACTTCATTAATAACTAAATTCACTTCATTTATATTCATCTAATTAAACTATTAAATATATCATTTCAAGAAAATCAAAACGAAATAATAATTGAAACAAAATTTTAACATTCTAAAATAATATAGAATATCTCAAAATGTTTTGAGATATTTTATTTTTATCAATTTTTTGAAGTGTTAGAAAATAGAAGACTAATATTTTAAAAATAAATTATTAATATTTTATTTTATTTCTGAAATATTTTCACATCAAAATAGTATACCAACATAAAAAATTGACCACTATAGATATAGTAGATTGAAATAAAATGAGTTACTTTAATTTTTAATTAGTAATTTTAGAAAAATTGAGTTTAATCACTAATAGAGTAAATATAAATGGGATAAACTTAATANATCACTATAGATATAGTAGATTGAAATAAAATGAGTTACTTTAATTTTTAATTAGTAATTATAGAAAAATTGAGTTTAATCACTAATAGAGTAAATATAAATGGGATAAACTTAATAATTTGATATAAAAATATTAAATAAGATGGAAAAAAAAAATTTTAAGGATGGGAATAACCGCAACCAAGGAAAAATCATTTCATTAAGCATAATCATCATTTTTTTTGTAATTGCATAATTATTAGTTCAAAGAAAACAATACCAAAAAATTAACTTCAAATCTAAACATGAGAGAGAAGAGATAAGAGATAAGTTTCATTTGAAAGAATATATACCTTGAGCTTGTCCACCTTTTCAAAATACAAAGAAAATGCTGAACCATGTTAGAGCAACTCTCCAACGATAGGTGCCATAAGGGGTGACAAACCCTTAACTACTAAAATTTCACCTTAAAATCAAAAAATTTTACTCCAAAAAGGGTGGTATCAAAGATTACAAAATGACACAAGGAAAGAGTAGGGTTTGCCTTTGCCCTTTGATCGTTTCAAGTTACTATTTATTTTAGAACAAATAACACTTTGTACCCCAAAATTTTTTTCATATTACATATTACATTATTAAATATTTTTGTATTATCATATAACACCATAAGTTTTTTTATATTACTATTATTAATAAAAAAAAAATAGATATTGAAAATACAACTTGAAATTAAAATTAAAATTAAAATTGAAAATATAACTTGAAATTAAAATTAAAATTAAAATTAAAAACACANATAGATATTGAAAATACAACTTAAAATTAAAATTGAAAATATAACTTGAAATTAAAATTAAAATTAAAAACACAACTTAAAATTAAAAATACAAAAAATATTAANAATAGATATTGAAAATACAACTTGAAATTAAAATTAAAATTAAAATTGAAAATATAACTTGAAATTAAAATTAAAATTAAAATTAAAAACACAACTTAAAATTAAAAATACAAAAAATATTAAAATAACACCCCCATTTTGACACCTATTATTAAAACATATTTAAAAATCAAAAGATGTCAAACACCATTCAAATTTACAAAATAACATTTGACACCCCAAAAATAACAACTCCCCTCAAAATTGCTTTTACACAAACCAATAAAGCAAATCACCATTCAAATGAACAACGACCTATAATTCAAAATTTACCAAAATGAAACAAGTAGTTTCTCCATTAATAAGCCAAATTAGAAGTAGTAACATAAACCAAAAGATTACAATGTTTTCCTTCTCCACTTTCNACAAGTAGTTTCTCCATTAATAAGCTAAATTAGAAGTAGTAACATAAACCAAAAGATTACAATGTTTTCCTTCTCCACTTTCTCGGACCACCAACAAAACTAGCACTAACCCACAATTACATACAAAGAGACAGGAGCAAANAGAAGTAGTTTCTCCATTAATAAGCCAAATTAGAAGTAGTAACATAAACCAAAAGATTACAATGTTTTCCTTCTCCACTTTCTCCGACCACCAACAAAACTAGCACTAACCCACAATTACATACAAAGAGACAGGAGCAAAAACATCATGTTAAATACGATGGGACAAATCTAAGCAGCCTTCTTGGGGGACTTGGTGGCCTTAGATGGAGATTTAGGTTCCTTTGTAGCCTTGTCGGTCTTCTTGGGTAACAGAACAGGGTTGATGTTGGGGAGTACTCCACCGTGTGCAATGGTCACACCAGCAAGCAATTTCCCAAGCTCTTCATCGTTCCTCACAGCCAATAGCACGTGCCTTGGAATGATTCTGGTCTTCTTGTTATCACGAGCCGCATTACCTGCTAATTCCAATACCTACATCCAACAAATAAAATCCCATATTTAGATATTAAGTCGGTCTATGTTTTGGCAGANCATGCCTTGGGATGATTCTGGTCTTCTTGTTGTCACGAGCCGCATTACCTGCTAATTCCAATACCTACATCCAACAAATAAAATCCCATATTTAGATATTAAGTCAATCTATGTTTTGGCAGATTTATTGACTGTTTGGGAAGTGAGAATACACAGAAAAAATNCGTGCCTTGGAATGATTCTGGTCTTCTTGTTATCACGAGCCGCATTACCTGCTAATTCCAATACCTACATCCAACAAATAAAATCCCATATTTAGATATTAAGTCGGTCTATGTTTTGGCAGATTTATTGACTGTTTGGGAAGTGAGAATACACAGAAAAAATGAAAGAAATGGCGTTATGAATGTGATGAGCTCCTATTTATGTGGCTTCAGCGATCACCATTGCTACAAATCCAAGCTTTTTATCCTCAATTCTCCTAAATTAACCTAACCCAGAGAGCGATTTCAAAGAATAGTTAAGCTTTCTAGTTTCATTTCCTTGGCAAAAATTGATGGATGAGAAATGGTAAATCCAAAAAAACCCCTTCGAGCTAATGAAGAAAACAATGGATTCAACACCAACTTATAAATAAAATTAAAAAAAGGGCAAAACCTAACGATGAAGTGAACCCAAAACGCAATAGGCAAAGCCTAGTCGCAGATCCTATATATAACAGAGTAAGAAAGAGGAGAGATGAAGATAGAAACTCACTTCAGCAGCCAAATACTCAAGCACAGCAGCCAAGTAAACCGGAGCACCAGTTCCGACACGTTGAGCGTACCGACCCTTTTTCAAAAAACGGCCAATCCTGCCGACGGGAAACTGTAGACCTGCCTTGACGGACCTAGAGACCGGTTTGCTCCTCGGACCGCCTCCCTTCCTTCCTCCCGCACCCTTCTTCCCTTTTCCGGCATCCATTTCTCACCTCTGAAACACAAACACAGTCTGATAATCGAAATCGAAAATTGTCTATGTGATTGATTCGTGTTTGTAATGAAAGCTGTGGCTGGCACACAGACTTAGTTAAATAGATGTCTTGGAGAGAGATGAATTATGTAATGGATTGGTTCTAGCCCTTGGATGTAGTTTAACTGACGGTGGTGGTTTGTTTTAGTCACGATCCGCGTGGTTCAAGATTGACCAATGGGGAGCGAGAGAACTAATTTGAATTTTTTGCCACGTAAGATTTCGACCAATTCGTGACCGCCATCGCTTTTTGTTTTCCCGCCTTAAATTTCAATCGTTTTTCAAATGTTTTTGGACAAAGAAGTAATATTTGGTTCAAGAGTTGCAACTTGTGATTGACTAAAAAAGGATAAAACTATGTTGCTCAAATTTATTTATCAAATTTTATATTTTAAGTATTTTTTTAAAATTTTATTCATTAAATATTTNCGATTGTTGTATGAATTAAAATAATCAGGGCGGATGTGGTATAATCGTCTTAGTGAATATTTCTTGAAAGAGGGATATGCCAATGATTTGATATGTCTATGTAATTTTATCAAACGATCTAATAGTAGATTGGTTATTATTGATGTATATGTTGATGATTTAAATCTAGTAGGCATTCCAAGAGAACTCACAAAAGCCGTCAACTATTTAAAAGGTGATTTTGAGATGAAAGATTTTGGGTAAACAAAAATTTGTCATGGCCTACAAATTGAGTATTTATCCAATGAAGTTTTTGTGCATCAATCAACATACACAGAAAAAAGTTTTGAAACAATTTTACATGGATAAATCTCATCTATTGAGCTCACCAATGGTTGTCAGATCATTAGATACAAANCATAATCTTGGTGGAATAGGGTGCGTTCCTAAATCTCACACCATGAATTTCAATGACTCCAATATCATTTTTAGCTTTCGCGACTCATATTGTACAATATTTTTTTATTGTAGACGAAGTTGATACAATTTTTTTCGCAAATGTTATGTAACAAAGGTACAAAACATAGATTTAGAAAATCTCTCACCCACATTTCATCAAGTGATGTGTAAATGAGTCACATACATCCTCAACCTAAGTGAAATCGAATTCTTTCTACTATGGGATATTATTGCATCTGGGTGGACCTTTAGGACAAGTTACTTAAAACAACTTGAAAAGTACTTGGTGAAGGTTATTCCTAGACACAATTAGGACTGATAATCGAGTGAAGTTTTATGAACTCGAGCTCAATCTGTCGAGCTCGTTTTTTTTAAAAGAGCCTAAAAAATTATTCATATTATAAACGAGTTGAACNATACAATTAGGACTGATAATCGAGTGAAGTTTTACGAACTCGAGCTCAATCTGTCAAGCTCGTTTTTTTTAAAAGAGCCTAAAAAATTATTCATATTATAAACGAGTTGAACCCGAACCGAGTCAAACCTGATTAATTCGACTATTTTATATATAAATGAGTTCAGTGTTTGTGAGATCGAGTCAAGCCAAAAAACTTGTTTAAGATTGACTCATTTAGAAAACAAGATGAACTCAAAATGAGTCGAAATTTTAGGTTCACTTTGCACAGGTATGTAAAAAAAATAGGTGTTGCGATAATGGTCAAATGTTTAACAAGCCTCTCATGATAGTGGACAAAGGCATAGATGATGTTTTTGTTCTGGATGAAGTTTGTNTTAAAAAAATAGGCGTTGCGATAATGGTCAAATGTTTAACAAGGCCTCTCATGATAGTGGACAAAGGCATAGATGATGTTTTTGTTCTGGATGAAGTTTNTAAAAAAAATAGGTGTTGCGATAATGGTCAAATGTTTAACAAGCCTCTCATGATAGTGGACAAAGGCATAGATGATGTTTTTGTTCTGGATGAAGTTTGTGGCTATTGAGGTTTTCTTGATAGTTTATTTATGCAGTGTGTTTTCAACAATGCAATCCAATGTGACCATAAAGTGGTAGTGTTCCGTGAATGTAGTTCATTTTACTTAGTAATAGCTAGTCTATTTGATCATTCATGCCCTAAGCTCAACAAAGCTGATGAGGAATAAAAATATTTTATGGATTTGATGTGAAAGGATTCAATTCGATGAATGCTGAAAGAGAAATAATTGACAAAAATGAAAAGAAGAGATTCAGACAAAGTTATACTCACTANTATGGATTTGATGTGAAAGGATTCAATTCGATGAATGCCGACAGAGAAATAATTGACAAAAATGAAAAGAAGAGATTCAGACAAAGTTATACTCACTAACAAAACGCAATATATTTAGACCTGTATTCCAAACACCACAAGGTGTTAAACCAGTTTGATATAAANTAACAAAACGCAATATATTTAGACCTGTATTCCAAACACCACAAGGTGTTAAACCAGTTTGATATAAATAGATATTTGTGAGAAAAAACAATGAGAAAAATAAAATTGTATAGTATAAGGTATGACTTGTAGCACACAGTTTCTCGCAGAAATCTAGTATTGATTATGAGTAGACATATTCTCCAATAATGAATGCTATCACTTTTAAATTTTTTATATGCATTGCATTCTTTGAGGGATTGGATATATGTTTAATGGATGTTATCATTGTATATTTATATGGCTTGTTGGACCATAAGATATACATGAAAATCCCTCAAAGATTCAAAATATCATAAGCATATAATTCACAATCCCGAAGGTTGTATTCCATTAAACTTTAACNCAAAGATTCAAAATATCATAAGCATATAATTCACAATCCCGAAGGTTGTATTCCATTAAACTTTAACAATTGTTGTATGAATTAAAATAATCAGGGCGGATGTGGTATAATCGTCTTAGTGAATATTTCTTGAAAGAGGGATATGTCAATGATTTGATATGTCTATGTAATTTTATCAAACGATCTAATAGTAGATTGGTTATTATTGATGTATATGTTGATGATTTAAATCTAGTAGGCATTCCAAGAGAACTCACAAAAGCCGTCAACTATTTAAAAGGTGATTTTGAGATGAAAGATTTTGGGTAAACAAAAATTTGTCATGGCCTACAAATTGAGTATTTATCCAATGAAGTTTTTGTGCATCAATCAACATACACAGAAAAAAGTTTTGAAACAATTTTACATGGATAAATCTCATCTATTGAGCTCACCAATGGTTGTCAGATCATTAGATACAAAGAAAGATCTATTTTGTGCTCAATATAAATGTGAAAAACTTCTTAGTGTAGAAGTAACATATCTTAGTGCAATGGGTGTACTAATGCATTTAACAAATTGTACGAGGCCAATATATATCATTTGTAGTTAATTTACTGGTAAGATACAACTTAGCACAAACTCACATACATTGAAATGAGATCAAACATGTACTGAGGTTTCTTCGTGGAATGGTAGACATAGGGTTGTTCTATATGAATGACCAAAATCCGTTGTTAGTTAGATATGTAGATGTCGCTTATTTTTTCTGAACCAGACAAGACTTGATTACAAATTGGATATGTGTTTACTTATGATGGTACATTTATATCATGGAAATCAGTTAAGCAAACAATTATTGCTACATCATCCAATTACTCTAAAATATTAGCCATCCATGAAGTAAGTCGATAATGTATTTGACTAAGATCAATAATCTAACATATTCAAGAGCAAAGTGGATTATATTCAATCAAAGACATTCTAACAATATTATATAAGAATAATACAGCTTGGATCACACAGTTCAATGAATGATATATCAAAGGCGACATAACAAAATATATATCCCCAAAGTTTTTTTACACCCACAAGCTAGAGAGCAATGATGATATTAATGTTCAGCAAATTCATTTGACTGAAAATTTGGTAGATTTGTTCACTAAAACACTCTCACCGATAATATTCTAGAAATTGGTGAACCAGCATCTCAAAGATTTATCAAACTGAATAATCATCATTTTGACTGAATATATTCAACAGGGGGAGATATGTACTCCTTTTCTCTTCGCTAAGGTATTTTCCAATTGGGCTTTACTTAGCAGAGTTTTTTAATGAGGTAGTACTTAGGATACTAACGGTTTTATTGAAATCAGATTTTCGACCATAGTGTTATTTAAATTGTTATCCAAGGAAGAGTGTTATAAATACTGTGTATGATGTGAATAACTACTATACACAAATAGTAACAAAGTACCAAATAGTGTTGTAAATGATATTGACACATGGATCGAAGATGGATGACCACCATTGCATTTATGTCTATGATAATTGCACTCCAATTGATAGTGAAAATATAGTTAGGTATTTTGCCTATAAATAGGATTTTCACTTTTGAATGAAGAATACATCTATATAATAAAGTAGAGCTAAGTTTGAATTTTGAAGACAAAGAGAGGTCCAAATCGTTTTAAGATAAAACATAAACACATCCAACGGACAACGTAATCTTAACATAAAAAATTGTTCAGATTATCTCAAAATTTTTGATCTAACGGTCTACAGTGAGTACTGAATTTTGTTTTCTCACCCAACAATATTTCCTAACTCATGCCTCTCTCTCTCTCTCCCCTAATCTCACACTCCCAATTTTATCTCATATACAACTATAGACTCCTATTGCTCATATACCTCTCTCTCTCACGATGTCTCTCTCTCCCCCCTCCCTTAGTCTTATCTCTCAGTCACGCCTCTTCTTTTCTCTCTCTACACAGAAAACACACACAGAAAACAAAAATACTCACACATGCACTCAAATCCTACTGTGTTCACTTCTGCTTCTTGGAGTCCCTAAGGTCAAGTTTGGGTTTACTTTTGCTATTGCACTTTGAATTCCCGTATGCTTCGATTTTTAGTTTTTTTGTTGTATTTCTCTGTTTGCTATACTCCACTAAACTCTTTGTTATTCATTTTGTCTTATTCATGCTTGGTAGTCTTTGTTGTCTTTACCTCAAATCATTTATGTGATCTATTGATTTTAGGTAGACTGAGATGAGTTTCTTCCATTCAAAATTCTAAGAATTTTGTTGATTTTATCAACTCTGATATATATGCCCATTATTTTGGGCCTCATTATGTTTATTTATGCTATGGTTTTTCAATTTTGTTTGTTTTCAATTTTTTTCCATTGTTGGATTTTGATCAAAAAATAATCGAGTGAAAGGGTTGGATCTTTTGTATTCAATTGTTTTAGTTTGATATAATTTATAACATAACATGTGTTTGATAAAATGTCTATATGAATGTCTTTCCATAATTTGATTAGATCATTTGATGATCCGCATTAATGATTGACTAGCAAAAATTTTAGGATTATTAATCAAATTTCATTCCTTACCCATTTTGGAAATACGCGATACTCGAATCCCACAAACCTCTCTGGGCGTTTTCCCCCTGATCGCCGCAATTTGTCTTCATACCTCTGTTCGCAGTGGAGAGTCATCGCTAGTCAGGTATCCTCTCTTCTTATCCTTCATTCTTCTTCATTCTGCAACACACGAATATTCACACACAACAAGATACTCTCTCTCTCTCTCTCTCTCCCATGCATACCCAGTTCTGCAACAAATGCACATGCACACTCACGGTCACATATACTCGCACACGCACAGACTAGTACTGCAAACACACACACTCTCACACATACACACACACACACTCTGTGTGACACACACATACACAGTTGATTCGGCTATACACAAGCAGGCACAAGCAGATATGGGACATTCACATTCTCTCACATGCGCACTTTCACAGTTACAGACACGCACATACGCACAGTTCGTCCATAGTTTCATTGGGTTTGCATAATAGAAGTTCTCATTAGAAATTCAAATTGTTGCAATTAACCTCGAATGTATATAAATTCGTGAATATGGTGCACCCGGAATTAACTAGCGTACTAAATTTATTAATGCAATTTGTGCTGAGAAAAATCGAATGTATATTTAGAAACTACATTTGGGATTTTTTTGTTCTAAACTTGATTGTGTAGATATGTTAAATAGATAGTTTTGGTTTTGGGTTCAAGATACTTATTGATTTTTGGTTTTGGCCTTGAGTGAATTCTATGATTGTTGATTCAATTTTCTCTAATATATTGATGCAGATATTGTTTCATACGTGACATTGGGGTAATTTCAATTCTTGAATCAGGATTTCGTTTGCGGTTGCTGCTACCCCCTCTCTCTCGCTCGCTGTTACTATATTCGCTGAACAATATTCCAGATTTGTTTAATATTCATGATTTTTACTATTTTTTCATCTACTATCACTAGAGATTTGTTTATGCTATTGATTTGTTTACTAACAAATTTATCTACTATCACTAAAATCTTGAGTTTCTAGCAAAACAAGCTATTCAAACAAATGTCTTCGGGTCATCATCTCTACCGATAATGCTTTGAGAAAATCCTTCACATAATCTTTATGAAAGCAATTTTGTTGAAGACACTTCGATGCAATCGACACCACCATCCATTGGTGTCAAGAACAACATTACTATTTTTGACCATGTAAGATCTTTCTCTAATAGATTTCTTTTACAACCTTTCATAATATATAATCTTCACTAATTATAATTTTTTTAACCATCTTTTAACAAATGGATAATAACCTAGGTCTTACAGTAAGTCGATTTTCTTATGACTCATTTATTACTTCTTATTTCATATCGCTCAATTTAGCTTTACATTGTTTTGAATTTCTAGGTTCAGTTACTTCAGAAAAACAATGTAGGCGTTGTGATTCGTGATGAATGTGTGAGGTCAACCGCCTTCACATATTTGAAATGGTAACAAGAAATTTAAATATAATGATATATGCATTATGATTTTTAACTATAAAGGTTTTTAACTTACACATATTGTTTTGTTAAAAGGAAAAAAGAAAGGCAACTGCCATGGCGACCACTAACTCTAAAAGAAAAGAAAAAGTAGGTTCTTCTGGTAAAGGAAAAGAAAATACAGAACCTCAAGTGATAAGAATGTCGAATTCAACAATTAAGAAATTATATCTAATTGCTTATGTTCACAACGATGATTCTTTTTATTATGTTTTAGACATCCAACGATAATTATTATATATCAAAACAGACATGAACTACGTATTTCATATAACATATAAGTTGTGTTTGATTTAATTGTGTTATAAGCAAGTGATGTTAGTGTTAGGTTAATTGACATGATTAACTAAATTGGTTGTGTTACGAATGAGGGGTTTTTCACATTAATTTGAAATAATGCAAAATATTATGATACAACACAATTTGATTGCCGCTTTATGGGGGGTTCTCATTTTTGTAATTAGTCATTTTTTTTGTGTTATACATTGCCTTAACGCACATACAATTATTTGTGATTTCTTTATTTAATACATAGTACCATCAAAACTCCGTAGTTAAGCGTGTTTGAGCGAGAGTAATACTAGGATGGGTGACCCCTGAGAAGTCCTCGTGTTGCACCCCTTTAAAAAAAAATAGTACATATTGCCTTCAGACACAAACTATTTCTAGTTGAATAAAATAAGAAAAATTTTATCATATCTTTAAGGACACTCTTCTATTTTTTGAATATTCACTGACACCCACTGTCAGATTAAATGATTTAAATATAATACAATTTTATGAAATTACTTTTGACATATTTTAGAAAAAACTTCATCCATACCCCTTTTAGATAGGTATATCTTCAATGAGATTTTCTTTGTTTTATAATTTTTTTTGCGTTTTAAAATTTGGGTCGATTAAAATTCAATTTGAGCAGATTAAAATTTATTTTTAATCGACTTGAATCAAATTTTAATCAATACGCATTGAATTTTAACCGAGCCGAATTTTAATACGTAAAAAAATATAAATTTTAATCAACTTGAATCGAATTTTAAGCGGCACTAACAACTCTGGTTGAGCTCAAATCGACTTAAATTTTGATACGTAAACAAAATGTAATCAATTCAAATCGAATTTTAATTGACTCAGATTTTAATATATAGAAAAATAAATTTTAATTAGCTCAAATTTTAATATATAAAGAATTAAATTTTAATTGTTCCGAATTTTATGAAGAAATATTATTTGATGTTTATATATGGGCAATTTTGCTATTTTATATGAAATTGTTTTTGTTAAAAATTGTGATTTAACAGTAGGGGCGTCAGTGATATTTCAGATAATAAAAGAAATATCTTTCAAGATGTAGTAAACTAGGAGTGTGATTGAAAATTTTCTAATGAAATGTACATCTCCATCTTTATCTCTGTATTGTTTTTATCTCTCAATTTATTTTATTTGAACTAGTTATTTATACTTACATTAATTTGATAGTTTGATAAGATGAGATGGTATATCATATCCTTTTCCCAACCTTTTCAAGTTGGTAAGAGGTTGGAGTTGGACATAAAATTTAGAGAAAATTTCAGTGATATTACTTCTAGTTTATCATATCTTTAAAGACATATTTTTTATTTTTCAAATTTTTAATGACAATCATTATCAGATTAAAAGTGTTAATTAGAATGTACTTTTATTAAATTACCCATGATATATGTTAGGTATATCTTTACACCCCTCTGGATAGATATATCTTTAATGAGACCCTCTTTATTTTTTAATTTTTTGTACATATTAAAATTCAGGCTGATTAAAATTTGATTCAAGCTAATTAAAATTTATTTTTTATATACTAAATTTAAGTCTATTAAAAATTATATTTTTTTTACATATTAAAATTTGATTTGAGCCTAAAATTCTATTTGAGGCTTAAATCAAATTTTAATCAACTCCCATTAAATTTTAATCGGTCCGATTTTTAATACATAAAAAAATATTAATTTTAATTGATTCAAATTTTAATATATAAAAAATAAATTTTAATGAAGTTGAATTGAATATTAATAAATAAAAAAATGTAAATTTTAATCAATTAAAAATGAATTTTAATCGGGGCTAACAGCTCAAGTAGAGCTCAAATTTTAGTACGAAAAAGTCTTTTAGTAGGGTCAAATTTTAATACGTCAAAAAAAAAAATTAATCAGTTTGAATCAAATTTTAATATGTAAAAAAATCAATTTTAATCAGTTCGAATTTTAATCGACTTGAACTTTAATTGAATTTTATATAAAAAGATTGTTTGAAATTTATATAGAGATAATTTTGATATTTTAGATAATATATTTTTATTATAAATAGTGGTTTAATTATAAGGAGTGTTAGTGATGTTTAAATATAAATTAAAAGAGGTGCAGATCATATTTTTAATAAAAGATGAGTGTTCACGAAGATACGGTAAAAGCGGTGCGGCTGAAATTTTTACAGAAAATTTATATCCTATCTTATAAAAACCCATTATTNTGTTTAAATATAAATTAAAAGAGGTGTAGATCATCTTATCTTATAAAAACCCATTATTTAAACACCACGTCATCTTGACAAAAAAAAAAAAAACACCACGTCATCAATCCCCGCCGCTTCTAGTGAACCAATGAATCTCCAACACGTCTGCAACCAACCCCCAAAAAACGCAACCCTGACATTCACGCATTCTCTCTAAGCCGTCGATCCAACTTCAACTCAGAACAAAATTCAGCGGCTCCCCCCCCCAACCGCCAACACATCGATCCGTGCCTGACCCCATACTCCAATAAAAAAAAGTCTCAACCTGCTATAAATAAGAAACGCCCTACGTTTCTTCCTCATCTTACAATCTCCTCACATTCNCCGTGCCTGACCCCATACTCCAATAAAAAAAAGTCTCAACCTCCTATAAATAAGAAACGCCCTACGTTTCTTCCTCATCTTACAATCTCCTCACATTCCAACCTCTGTCAAAGCAACTCTTTTGGCTCTACGCATACCTTTCTCTCTCTACAAACTTTCAATGGCACCCAAGGCAGAGAAGAAGCCAGCGGAGAAGAAGCCAGCGGGAGAGAAACCGGCGGAGGAGAAGAAAACTGTCGCCGAGAAAGCTCCGGCCGAGAAGAAGCCAAAGGCCGGAAAGAAGCTCCCCAAAGAGGGTGGCGCCGCTGCCGGAGACAAGAAGAAGAAGAGAACGAAGAAGAGCATCGAGACTTACAAGATCTACATCTTCAAGGTCCTCAAGCAGGTCCACCCCGACATCGGAATCTCCAGCAAGGCCATGGGGATTATGAACAGCTTCATCAACGATATCTTCGAGAAGCTTGCTCAGGAATCTTCTCGGCTTGCGAGGTACAACAAGAAGCCCACCATCACTTCTCGGGAGATCCAGACTGCTGTGAGATTGGTGCTTCCTGGTGAGTTGGCCAAGCACGCCGTGTCTGAGGGGACTAAGGCGGTAACGAAGTTCACGAGTTCTTGAGGAAATTGTTGTCCTGGGTTTCTTGAATTTTGGGAATTTATAAGATAGGGTTAGGGTTTCGGTTCATGTTTACTGTTGCTGTGTTTAATTTTTTTAGCNTTGTCCTGGGTTTCTTGAATTTTGGGAATTTATAAGATAGGGTTAGGGTTTCGGTTCATGTTTACTGTTGCTGTGTTTAATTTTTTTAGCCTTTCATATGGGTGACAGTCATTGTAATTACTGGTCTCTTATTTATCAATGAAACTGCTCTTGCCCTAATTGTGTTTTGCCCATTTGCTCTGTGTGTATGTATGCATTNCTTTTCATATGGGTGACAGTCATTGTAATTACTGGTCTCTTATTTATCAATGGAACTGCTCTTGCCCTAATTGTGTTTTGCCCATTTGCTCTGTGTGTATGTATGCATTAAAATTTGTTTCCACTGTAATTATATTGTGATGATTTCCGTTGGTTTTGTAGGAGCTACCTTATCTATTTGTCCACCTTTGAAGTGTCGTGGACATCATAGAGTTGTAGAAGTTGAATCTGTCAAATTTGTGTATCTCTATGTTGCCAATAATAATAATGTAGTTGATTATCACATTTGAGACAGTTAATGTGCGATTCTAATTATGTTATGTTCGTACTTCTGTTCATTTGTTTTCTTATGAGTATAGATTGAAGGTTATGAGTATTGTAAATCTTTAGGGTTTGTTGTGGTTTTGGTTCATTATGTATTTAGTGAGAGCAGTTTATACTTCCTGTGCTCACAGAATGAAAGTGGTTTATTGCAGTTGAATTGTTGCTTTTGAGATGTTGGTTTGGGGTGTGATCATACCTGCACTAATGCATTGGATCTTATTAGAACTCTGTAGTTTAGCATGCTTGGGTGAGAGTAGTATTTGGATGGTTGATCCCTTGAGAAGTCCTTGTTGCATCCTTTTTTTTTTTTAAAAAAAAAAAGGGATTTTGGTTTGGTTCAATGATGTAATTGTTTTTTCGTGGTATTTATGTGTATTTGATTATTTTGTGAGGTCATTATATTTTCTTGAGAGTTAGGTTTCATGTGATTGACTGATAGTTGGATCACTTACTATACACATTAGTCTTTAAATTTTAGGTTTTGAGGGTACTGAATATTAAATTATTAAATTTATTATGTTGGTTATACTATGAACCTATAGCATGGATTAAGCCTAAACAAGAAAATGGATATTGGAGAGAAGTTAATCGTTGTGTTTTGATTTTTGAAAATGGTGGGATTATANAATATTAAATTATTAAATTTATTATGTTGGTTATACTATGAACCTATAGCATGGATTAAGCCTAAACAAGAAAAATGATATTGGAGAGAAGTTAATCGTTGTGTTTTGATTTTTGAAAATGGTGGGATTATATTGGTTGTTGCAGTTGGATCATAAAACATTCTGTACCGAGCTAGAATTGAAACTGATGGATGGATGAATGAACTCTTAGCATGTTGTCGTGCAAAATTTGACTTGTAGGCCCTGTAGTTTGAAGGGTGTCATGGCTGAAATTTTGCAATACCAGACTTTTTTGGATGTTTCCTACCCTGTTTACTTTTATCTGACTATTTTTTTCATCTTTCTCAGTAGGTGTCTGTCAAAATCCCTTTCTGCTGCAGGACAAACTTAAGACTGGTGAGTTCAATAAAAGTCATGTTTGGTTCTTTTATTAAGTTGGTAGTTGCCTATGTATTTGCCTAGTTTCGGGAGTGAGCCACTGCATTTAATTTACCAAAAAATTGTAGGTAGGAATCCTGTTGCTTTTGATGTGCTGAAGATGCATAATTATTGTAGAATGACTTCTTTATGGAAAAGGGATTTGGTTTGTGTAGTGCCTCTTTAATGTTTTGGCCTTAATGGTTTGAAAACTCTCTGATGAATGATTAGTCATTCAGCATCACATTTAGAGAAATATTCTAATAATTTTTCATCCGATGGTGTCTGTCTTTTACCTGTTGATTATGTTTGTTGAGATGTGTTCCAATTCACTTTTAGTTTTGAACTTTGAAGTAATTCAATATGTGATGTATTGTTGAAGGAGTCAGAACTGCTGTGGGTGCATATGGTTCATATTGTTACTTGCTTTTTCTGTACGAATCTCACGAATTTAAGTACAAGTTTCT